CCTGGAAAATTGGGATAAATCCCAGAAAATTGGGGAAAAATCCTGGAAAAATGGGATAATTCCATGAAAAAAAAAATGGGATGAAATCCTGGAAAACTGGGATAGAGCTTGGAAATTTGGGAAAACTTCTAGAAAAACTGGGATAACCCTGGAAAAATGGGATAATTCCATAAAAAATGGGATAAAGCCTTAGAAAAATGGGATCAATGCTGGAAATTTGGGAAAAATCCTGGAAAACTGAGAAAAAAATCCTTAAAATGTGGGGAAAATCCTGGAAATTTGGGATAAATGCTGGAAAACTGGGATAATTCTATAAAAAAATGGGATCAAGCTGGGAAAATGGGAATAAATCCAGGAAATCTGGGATAAAGGCCAGAAAATTGGGATAAATCTTGGAAAACTGGGGGAAAAAAAATCCTTAAAAAGTGGGGAAAAAAAAGCCCGGAAATTTGGGATAAAGCTGGGAAAACCCGGAGAATTCCATAAAAAATGGGATAATTCCATTAAAAATGGGATCATTCCATGAAAAACTGGAATAATTCCATGGAATGTGCTTCCCAAATATTCCCTGAGGATGGAGGCAGCAATTTCGGGCAGAATTCCCCAAAATTCCCATTTTCCATCCCAACATTCCTTTGGAATTTCCCTCCCCTCTTCTTCCTCATCCTCCTCATCCTCGCAAAAAAAAAAAAAAAAGAAAAAAAGGGAAATATCTGGGGAATATCCAGGAAAAATCCAGGAAAAAAATGGGGAAAATCCAGGAAAAAAATCCCAGAAAAAATCGGGGAAAATATCCACGAAAAACTCTGGAAAAATCCAGGAAAAATCCAGGAAAAATATGGGAAAAATCCAGGAAAAATCCAGGAAAAAACTGGGGAAAATGGTGGGAAAATCCAGGAAAAAAATCCCGGAAAAAATCGGGGAAAATATCCATGAAAAACTCTGGAAAAATCCAGGAAAAATCCAGGAAAAATATGGGAAAAATCCAGGAAAAATCCAGGGAAAAAAAATCCAGCGATAATCGTGGAAAAAAAATAGGAAAAAAGCAGGAAAAATCCTGGAAACTTCCAGGAAAATTCTGGGGAAAATCCGGGAAAAAAAACCGGGAAAAAATCCAGGAAAAAATGGGGCAAAAATAATGAAAAATTCGAGGAAAAATCGTGGCAAAATCTGGGGGAAATTGTGGAAAAATCCGGGAAAAATCCAGGAAAAATC